GGGGGGCACAGCTAAGCATCTCCTACTTTAGTCAAAGCATCCAGTCTTCATTCTAACCAGGCACAGCTCCAGGATTTTTTTCCCGTCCGATGCTAAAGTGGGGCTAGACAGATACATACAGTACAGGGGGGGGCTGAGAAAATACTTAAGAAATATATTTGAAAATAGCAAATAAAATGCAGGAGGGGCTTAACTGGTCCTACACACATTTCTAAATGGGCTATAGCATGACATAGCCCCGGTGTGGCACCGTCCCTGATTTTGACCTAGAAAACCAAAAGGGTGTTTAAACTCGAACTGGTTACACTGCTTATTGTCTGTGTTGTGTTGGCAGCTTGTGTCAGCACTTTTCACCACAGCTCCACATGTTATCCATTCACCAGTCCAGTATTAATAGTATTATTATCATTATTATTATTATTGGACAATATTAAAAGAGCTGAGTCACATTTGACATTTGAGATGTGAAGAATTAATGTTAGCAATGTTCTCTTACCAAATGTGAAAGCCATTCAGTAAGGTCAGAGACAGGAGAGTGAATCAAAATTTAGATTTTACTCCCAATAGTTTTACTCCCCTCCTGTTTTTCCCATATCACCAGGTTTTACTAGCTGCCAATGACTTGACATGTTGTCACTGCACTTCCCATTTTTAGCTTTGTCTGTTTTCTCTATTTACGTTTTTTAACTGGGTCACAGTGCTAGGAAATACCTTTTTCTAACTAGGCTTGACCTCATGCCACCATATTTGACGGTGGTATTTGCTGTTCCTAGGGAAATCTGTCCATTCTCTACCAATTCTCCTGTTTAGGGTTGTGGGTGAGCTGCAGCCTATCCCAAAGGACTTTTGGGCAAGAGCCCTGCTGTGAAACCATTTCCTTTTGTAGTGTTCTTTTTGGGTTATTTGGTGTTCTCATAAGGAGGTTGAGTTGACGTAATGTGCATGACACAGTGAGTCTAATCACAATTTGATTTGCCACAACCGTAAATTATTCCTGGGTCGCATTGTCTCAATTCTCAACTGATTTCTGGGTAACAAACGTATTCATAGTGAATGATAATTCGACACCAATGCGAGATATAGGTGATAGTGATAGTGGTCACAATATTTTAAATGATCAAAATACATTGTTGACTTTACAGGATGTTGAAACTGATGGTAGAGATGCCTTAGCTCAAAAGTCAAATTCATGCTTTTTGTGAGTGACTCATGGAGTTCCATATTCACTTTTAATTGCAACTATTTCAGCAGGGACAGCTTTTGAAGTCACTCCATGTTCTTTTATTTTATGTCTTTCTATTAAGATGTAGTCATCGTCAAGAGTTAATTTTCATGGAGCAGATAAATGCTGGCATGTTTGTCAATTGATGATTAAACGCCAGCCATCATCAATCTGACCAAGTCCAAATATGAAGATGAGAGTTCTTGAAGTCGTTCCTGTCAAGTTGCAGTGACAGTGATTGTAACGTTTGACCTCTCACGTACCAACAAGACATTTCTTAGACACAACCACAAGAACCTTTAAGAACTGTGAACTCTGAAGAGCTTGCATTAGTCTTTTAAAAAATGTGCATTATGTTGTCATTAACCCGCCCCCCCTCCCTGTCAGTAGTCTTTGTCTTTGACCTACTTTCAACTCAGTTTGATTACTTCAACATGAATGTTAAAGGTATGTTCTCGGGTTAAGGCTTGGATCTGCCAACATTTCAGCTCATGTAGCGAGACTTTTGCTCAGCGAGCTGTCGGTGGCATTGTAAAGACATTTCATGCTGTTGCAAAGCAAACGTACGGCCCAGTATGTAACGAGAGGGAGCCATTTGTCAATTACTACCTCCTCTTTGCTGTGTTGTCTGTTAGCCCGGGCCAACTTTGTCACCACCACAAATTCAGATTTTGGTGAAATGTAAAGAAAATATTGGCCATGGTTGCAGTTAGCTTTGGAGCAGATTTCTTTTGTGCATTGCCATGGTCTGAGCATACCCAGGACTTAATTATGCTGAAGTACACAAGGAGCAGTAAACTGTAAGTCATCTATTTAAATGATACTCAAGACCTTTAATAGTCTACCACTAAAGCTTAATATAACACAGATACAGTGTCTAATTTAAGATACTGGACTATTAATGTTGAATGTGAAACAACTACAAGGCAGAAATTCCGTATGATGGAACCTTATCTCAGCGCTGTATCAATTGTGTTTGTATCAATATTTACGAGAAACAATGGTCATAGAAATGGTTCATTGAAAAGTGTTGCCATCAAAATCTTCTCAAAAGTGACGCATTTGTTCACACTAGACTCGAGTGACGAGAGTCTTAATCCTTCACTTTGTCATCGCCGTCATCTTTTATTCCTTAAGCCAAAGAACAAGCAAAACATGAAGGAGTTCCTGTCTTAAGTCTTGTGAGCGATGCTTCGGTATCATGTCTTTGAACTCTTGAGATTCTTGTGCAAAATTATACAGGCTTATTTCCCTCCCAAATTGGGCCAAATTTCAAAACCGTACCAGTTGATTTTCTACATTTTATGACCTGACCCAAGAGGAAGCTGGAATAATATTTTCAGGCAAACTGACTATCTTTTGTCAATAATTCTCCTGAATTCCTCACCATTGGATTCATCTCCTCAGGTGTGTACGCCGTTACGACAACCATGTGAACCGCTGCCATTCCTGCTCTTCCGCCATTTCCCCGTGTGGTCGATTCGTAGCGTGCGGCTCAGAGGACAAATGTGTAAGTTGTGGACACGTAAGCTTTTCCCCTTGTACTCTTAAAGTGACAAATCAAATACCACAGAGTGCCAATGACTGAAGTCATGGTTTATCTCCAGGATGAATAAATTGATTTACAGGATGATTAAGAGTTATGTCATCAGTGTGTGGTTATAATTTTCACATGTATTTTATTACATAAATGAATCTGAATCATGGACAATGTATCGATACGAGAGAAATATTACTTATGTGAATATATATGGGGCATTTTTCTGCTATAGTTAACATGAATTCAAGGATTTGTTCTAATCATGAGATTCTATTGCTTCACAGTGAAGCGTCCGGGGGTTCCATTGTAACACCAAGTGTTTTTTTTTTTTTTAATTTTGCGTTTGACTCACATTTAATTGGAATCAGACCTTTTTCCAAAGTCCCAATTCAACATCATGTTGAAATAGTGTTATTAAATTGCTTTTCCAGACAGTGACTATTGACTTGCTTTCAAAGTGTCTTGGAAAATGTCCTGTTTCTTCTTAATGTGTTTGTATGAGTAAAAGGCAGTGGAAGGAAATAGGCACTTATTACGTTTGTTTGAACAATGCAAATGTGCATTGCTGGGGGGGTTGGGGGGGATATTTATATCTGTACTTTTCTTCCAAAAGTGCTTGCTTATCTTTATACTAAAATTAAGGTAAGGAGAATTTACACATTGACATTTTTCCAAATACCCACAATAATAATTTTAATGTCAGCCTGGTGACCAATTCACGATGTACCACACCTCTCCCCGAACGTCAGCGATAGGCTCCAGCTCACTGGTGACCCTATAAGGACAACTGGTACAGGCAAAGAAGAAAAAAAATCCCAATTATAGAATTGCTGCTTTACTCTACTTATAAATGGAGACATCTCACATTATATTGAATTAAAATTTTCTCCCAGCCAAATAATGCCCTCTTAGACACCACACGCATCACATACCTTGGAGAGGAAAGACTCTACCGATGGATGGTTTTTCTTGAGCCTTTTTCAGAGAATCTGAACACAAAACAGCTGCAAGAATCTGATGAGTCGTCGTCTGGTAACGAACATCGATCTCCACATCTGTTTTCATCTGCTTGTGGCACTCAAGCAAACAAATGGCTCTTAAAGCTTGATTGCAGCCAGAGAGGAGAAAAAAAAACAGTTGGGCAACTCTTAACACATTCACATCTCTGGGAAGTCGTCATCACATATTCTGTGTTAAGAATTCCTAACAAGCTGTCCTTGACCTTTCGGGGCATTTTGCATTCTAATTTCACATTGGAGCAATAGGGGAACGTGGTGGTATTGTCATCTCTTACTTAAACCCAATGTTTTTATGGGTTATGCAAAACCACTAAACTAGTGTCTGACCATAAAATAGACAGACGTTTATGTTTAGGCATAAAACAAAAAGCGCTTTAAAAAGGCAAGGCAAAGTAACACCGAGAACACAAACGGAATGACAAGGATCCATTTTACACCAAAAACAAGAACAAGATCAAAAAGACTAAATAATACCAATACTTGTAAAACGACTGTGAACGAGGTCTAGTAAACAACACTTGAGCATCAACAGCAAGCAAGGTCAATCATCCAACAGAGAATAGACAGTTTAACTGTCGTTACAAGGTTTTGACTGAGAACAAGGAGCAGGTGCGCCTGCTGGAGGGGAACACGCTTCACTCCACCCGGAGCTGGAACAAAACCAAAGGCAGACATGACAAAAGTCACTTTTTCAAAATCAGTCTGAAACGTACTAAAACAGTTTTACTGATGTTACAAAGTCCAAACATACTGAAGTTTTGATTTATGTACAGTTACGGAACCAACAAGGTTTGGAGCAGATTTTCCGAATTTGATACCAAATCAGTTTCTCTTCATGCTCTCTATGATACAGTTTCACATCCTGTGATCAATAGAAGGCTTTAGTCATGTGTGTTCGTCATCTCTTACTTAAACCCAATGTTTTTATGGGTTTTGCAAAACCACTATTTCGTCTTCATTTCAGGCTTATGTGTATGACATAAGAAGCAGCAGCTACCTTCATAAGCTCCAGAGACATTCTGAGACGGTGCTCAGTGTGGCCTTCAACCCCGCTACTCCACAGGTAAGTGATGAGTTGATTGAGAGTTAACTAACCCTGTGGCACATACACGTACAGCAACATTGGATGAATGCCAAATGAGAGTGATACGAGTGTATGTTGTGATTGATCTGATCATGCATTGCAAGTTAATGTTTATTGTGGGAAACGGAAGGGAATTGCCTATTCACCAGCAGAATTGAATGCATGGTAAATTCTGTTTGATGCTAATCAGCATTGTTGTGTGCCAACCAAAGTGTCAAAATGCAAAGTAAAGGTCACTACTGACATTTGCAGCACGAGCAGAAAATACAGAGATGTAGGCTCTCTGTGCTGCACAGAGACTACATTGTGTTCTTAATTTGATAAAAGCAAAGTATTCACCAATTTACCATTCAGCATTAAAACTCGCTCCTACCTGTGTTATTTGAGCAATACAGTAAAATGCTCACTCTTAATTGATCATTATAATAATCAAGCTTTCATTTCAACATGCATAACTATAGCATTTATTCAGTCAACTCATAAAAATAGAGATGCGCACGCACAGGCACACACACACACACACACACACACACACACACACACACACACACACACACACACACACACATTCACACGCGCACACACACACAGCATATTGCAATAAAGTTCTGTGCAGTGCATACCGTACATTCTTTTTTCTTTCAATTGACAGAGATGTTAGTTATGTTGTTATTGTTATTTGACTAGCTTCTGAGATTCCATATACCTGGTCACCATACAGTATGTCTCGTTACTATCTCTCATACTAATCAATATAAGGTCGATATAGTAGTTAATGTGAGCACCCTGAATGGACAATTAACGTCATCTCTGTTGTTTTTCCTGTTGCGAAATAAGATAAATACGAACATCTTAGAATTGCGCCACATCTGTCACTCCAGAGGGCATGCGTGCCTAATAATTTGGCTGTTTGATGAATTTATTAGTAAGCTAAACATTACTCATAGAGTGAACAAAATTGCCCCTGTTTTACAGGAGTTGTAAATTTTCCTTTTTTTTCCTCCAATGATTTGCAAGGAGTTTGCTGTGCAGTAATTAACTAGCTTCTTGTTTAATGAAGTCACTCTTCATTAAATATGATTAACTTAAAATGCCTGACAATGAATGGTATTTAACATATGCTGTAAATCCTGAGTACTTAGAAAAACCGTTTTGTGCAGGAAAAAAAAAACATCAAAATAGTTTGCACGTCCTGTGCTCATCTTGCTTTTTTGAGGCCATATCTCTCAGCCAGATGTTGTCCATATTTAGTGCTGTGAGAATTCGCCACTGCAAGGCCCAGAAAGATAATGCAATGCATATTTTCCATTTACTTACTACTCACGTTTTCCACCCTAATACGCAAACGACCATCAAGGCTGTCCGATCACGTCTGTGGTTCATTCCCCCAGGTTTGCCGTTCATGCTCCTTAACGCTCTTATGAGAGATCCCAACATTTTACTTCACTTCACTTTTAATTGTTATTGTTGTTTTGTAAAGTATTTCCTAATTTAAGGATTTCAGGTGGCATACATTTGTAAATCTCTTTTTATTTGTGCATGTTTTTTTTTGTTTTTGAGAGAGACATCCAATGTAAGCAGTGGTTGAAAACCAAAGCCGTTTTAATGCTGTGCTTGCACTCGCTCCCTCGTATGGAATTTACGTGCTTCAGTATCATATGTAAAGGCAAAGCAAATATGCTATAGTTACCCTGAGGCAAATGAACAGCCAGCTTTCAGAAACAGGTTAATGGGTCAAACAAGGGAAATAGGCCCGAGGGAGCCCACATTATTTGGGTTACTGTGATAGCTGTGTTTTCTAATCTGAAGCTGATGATTGCTCCTCTCATGTTGTTCCACACCAGAGATGGAAAACATCTTCATCACATTAAAAATCTATACAATAGGCTGGAAAAGTGTGCAAATCATTGCTGTCTGTTTTTATTCATCTTCAATTCAGTGTCCCAATTTTCTTTGTTTGATATTGACAGAAAAGGAATGGTTCGGATTGTGATTTAAAAAAAAAAAAAGGATCAGTGCTGTAAAATATACAGTAAATTGTTTGTCCCAACCCGTGCATAACTAAACACAATACTGTAGTGCGTTAATTAAAATTTTTAATACACATTGTTGCCATTGTTAAAAAAGTCTGCACAAAAGTCTGTGGATATATGAACTGGCCAATGAGGGACAGCTTTTTATTTATTTTATTTTATTCCTTCTGTGCACCATGACATCAAGTAATGCACAAAGCAGCGGCCTAAGGAACAAAACCAGAAAGTGAAAATCCACTAAAATAAAATGAATAACACTGTTAATCCTCTCTTCAAGGATTAGCAATTATTAACAGATTATTGATTATAGTTGACACATACACCTGTAGAGTGTCTCTCGTCTACTAGCTACTGGCATACATCTCCAACTGGTGGCACTTTTGGTAGCGCTGCACAATTCTACTTTTGCATCACTGAAAGTTTCTCTGCTTCAGAACGGGACACAAATACCAAAAATTGGGCCAAGTTTGATGTTTACTGAGGTGTCCTGACGGCTCAGGTTAAATGATGTCCTGTATGATGATGTTCAAACTCCAAAAATTATCAGAACTCTTGGGGCATATTTTTCACAACAATGTTGGCCGAATTCTAAATGTCCACGTCTTTGGTAACTTCACAATAATGCTGTATGGAATGGATGAAGCCAAAAACTTCAGGGACTGCAGGATGCTGCATTGGGACTGTTGAATAATAGGATATGAATGTGAACAGTGTAGGAGGAGAGAGCTCAGAGCATGATAGGAAATCACAGACATTCTAGGCCTATAGCAGCATTACTGAAGGATGATTCTGGACAAGCCTGAGCCAGTCTGAACTCAAAGCTTTCAATCATGCAAACACACTTGTCAAATGACACACTTAATTTCATAAATAATTTGCTGTCTCCTTGTTCAAGTGGAAAGTGCTTTTTTGAGCCATTCCCAGATTCAACAAAGAAAAAAAATTGGCTAAATAAAAGGTTAACACATCAGGGTGGGAGGTACATGCACATAAAGAGCCAATGTGGTAATCTGTTTTTGATATTGGCTACATAATGTACGGTAAAAAAAAAAAAAAAATGAGGGTTACATGATGAAATGTTTTTTAATGCATTGGCAGACTTCAGTAGACATGTCTCATACATGGATTGTAATATTTAGAAAAGTTCCCAGAACCAGGGTACACGAGGCACTGGTTACATTTCCAAGTCACACATCAGATACATCCAGCAAATAAAACAAGCCTAGAAATATGTACCAGAGTATAAGCCACGACATTTTTCACACTCTTTAAACCCTACGGCTTGATAAATGATTAAGCTAATTCATGTGTTTTTAATGTCGACTGGTTAACACGTCTGCCTCGCAGTGAAGAGGTGCAGGGTTCGATTCCAGCTCTGGGCTTCATGTGTGGAGTTTGCATGTTCTCCCAATGCCTGTGTGGGTTTTCTCCGTGTTTCCTTCCACATTCCAAAAACATGCATGGCGGGTTAAAGGAACACCTGAAATTGTCCCTAGGTGTGATTGTGAGTGTGAATGGTTGTTGGTCTATGTGTGTTCATTTAGTCTATCGTCTTCATTTCAGGCTTATGTGAATGACATAAGAAGCAGCAGCTGGTTAAAAAAAATAAAATAAAATAAATAACTTTGACAAGAATGAGTTTGCAGTCGCATCCACAGTTAACCACGACTTGAAAAGTGACCTTGAACCTCCAGGCCTCAGCAGCCCCCCGTGCCACAGCACGTACAACATGATAGACTTAAAATGAAAGAATGGCCAAAACCCCAAAGTGCATGACATTTACAGCAAAGTTGTCTAGCTGTGGCTGCTGGCAACATAAGGGAAACATATCCTTAGCACATGAAAAAGAAAGTACAGCGCATTTGAATAGATTTGAATAGGTTGTGCTTGGACACTTCTGTTTTTAATTGCATATGTTCGTGTACTTAGATCGAATATGAAAGGAAACAGCCATATTATTCAAAGTGTTGATTGAGTCTTTTGATGAAGTGAGAATATTTTGATTACTCATCATTTGCACATAGCGTTAGCTGCAGGAGTGCAGAGCTGTGACCGCTTCCTGACACCAGCAGCTGTTCTGTTAGCCTCCCCCAACTTGGAAGACCAAGTGAATCATCCCATTGGCTCTTGTCTCCAAGGGTCCACATGTATCATCTATGCTCTTTCCAGCCTGGAAAAAAAAATGCAGCTGGCATCCCACTCGACTTTCTTCACTGTATTATTTCATTTGTGGCCAGTTGGCATTTGAAACTATTCCCACTACTTTGCCCCTTTTTTTTTTTTTTGTATTATTTTCCTGCCCTCAGGAAGCATTCCATTGGACGGTCAGACAGCAAACACAGAGCCGCCTGCTCCAGAATGTCACATCTGAGTGAGACTCAGACGGAGCTGAGACAGAACTTTTCTGAGAGCAGCAGGCATGCGTTCAATAGAGTTGGAACGCCATTAAAACAGGAAGCCATGAGTCTCTCTCAGTAGATCAACCATGTCAGTTAAAAAAGTATTGGGACACCTACAGGAACTGAAAATTTACTTCAGTAGCAGAGTGCGCACTCTTCTATAAATTAACGAACGCACCTGTGTTTTTGTGACTGTAAACCGTAAACACGAGCTGCAGTGGCTCTTTCAATTACACCGCTCAACAACCAACTTCAGAAAAAATGAACAATTTCCCAATTTGAGTTGTACTCAGGACATGGGTGGCCCGGTAGGCAAGTGGTTAGCGTGTTGACCTTGCAGTGCAGAGGTCATGGGTTTGATCCTGGCTCCGGCCTTCCTGTGTGGAGTTTGCATGTTCTCACCGTGCCTGCGTGGGTTTTTTCCGGGTACTCCGGTTTCCTCCCACATTCCAAAAACATGCATGGCAGGCTGATTGAATTCTCAAAAATGTCCCTCGGTGTGATTGTGAGCGCGGATGGTTGTTCGTCTCTGTGTGCCCTATGATTGGCTGGCAACCGGTTCGGGGTGTCCCCTGCCTGCTGACCAAAGACAGCTGGGATAATGCTCCAGCACCCCCCGCGACCCTTGTGAGGATAAAGCGGATCAGAAAATGGATGAATAGATGGATGGATGGATCACAGGACATGAACAGTGAATGAGGTTGTTTATCCCCTATCAGCCTACAACCTTCCTATTTGCTTGTGTACAGTTTCACATCAGAC